AATATGTTATGTTTATATATTAAATATATTTATATATAATATAAATTATATAAATATATGCATGTAAATATTTTCAAAATATATACGTGCATGTGTGTGTATTTATATATACATAAAAATATACACAGTACACTCGCATATTATGCAAACAAAAACTTTTATTTTGTATGCGATTAGTCGTGATCAATCTTTCGACAGCACTAATTATCTGCAAATAGAGGTTTTTAGAAATGTTCTTTTAAGATCTGAAGTACAAGTGCACATTTAACACAACTAAATGCACTTCATCCCAAAGGTAGACAAGAAATGTACTTGCATGAAAATAGCTGTAATGACGTGTTAATTAAATATAAATACAGTACATCTAAGATGTAAATCAGGCATTCTGTATAAACTAAACACAGTCTTTAATATTTTCATACCATAGGGTTTATCTACAATACTCTTATATTAAACTCTTAAACACACACTTTAAAACCCTATTCTCTGCAGATATTGAGTATTGTGGTCATTTATCACCATGAGATTTTTTTCTGCTGAGTTGTTTGTAGTTTCCCTTATTGCAGTTTCTCGACTGTCTCCTCAGCACTAAATGAACCGGATTTCTACTTGGATATGCTCCCCCCCATCTTAATTCTCCCTTCTCTTTCTCCCACAGAGGGGGCAGATAAATGGCATGCTGTGCTCTTTTAATGGGGAGGTTGGAATAAAGGTTTAGTGTTTTTTGTCTGAGTGTTGCGTAAATGTTGTGTTCATTGCGACTATAGTGACTGTTGTAGATACGTTTAGATGTTATGTTGTGTTAAGTGCTCATGTTAAATGGATAGTTTGCCCAAAAATTTTTAATTCTCATGTTCCAAACGCTAATGAACTTCTTTCTTCAGTGGAACACAAATGAGGATTTTTTTTTTCTTTCTTTTTTGTCCCTATAATGACAAAGTCAGTGAGGTCCAATGTTGTTTTGGACATCGCTGACTCTCATTGCATGGACAATTAAAACATTCTTCAAAATATCTTCTTTTGTGTTACATAGAAGAAAGAAAGACATTTGGGTTTGGAAAATGAGAATGAATAAATGATGACAGAATTTTCATTTTTAGGTGAACTATCCTTTTAAATAACCACATCTGTTACATTGGTGTGTTTATCAAATTTGTTTTGTTATGTACATTGATGAGCATCCAACAGCTGTACCCTGTTAGTCAGACAAATGTCTCTCATACTAACATACGTTCAGTCTATGCATTTTTATGCTGAATTTGTTCACTCACATTGTGAAGAATCTCTTTCAGTATCGGTTCAAGATACAGTAATATTGTCTGTACATTCTTAACTTTTTTCTATTAAGTCTACTTAATCAGTGTTACTTGCTCCAAAAACAGTCACAACCAGTGTTGTTACTGTAAACTAAAACAAAATCTATTAAAAATTGTGACCCTGGAGCACAAAACCTGTCTTAAGTCGCTGGGGTATATTTGTAGCAATAGCCAAAAATACATTGTATGGGTCAAAATGATTGATTTTTCTTTTATGCCAAAAATCATTAGGATATTAAAGGTGGGGTAAGCCATTTTTCAAAAACGCTTTAGAAAACTGATTCGGGACGAGTAGCAAAACAAACTTGTAGCCAATCAGCAGTAAGGGGCGTGTCTACTCATGATGTGGAGGAGGTAGAGTTCAGTGCACAGGACGGACATTAGCGAGCCGAGCGACAGAAAGATAGAGATGACAGATAAAAAAACAAAAGAGGAAAATGTCTGCGGAACAAAAGAAGGC